ATAAAAGTCAAATAAAATTATAACAACTATGCAGCCTTCTTTGTAAACTTGAATTTCTACCCCTGTATAGATGACACATTTTGGATAGTATTGACATTGTCACAATATTAATTCTTCAAATCCATAAGCATGGAATATCTTTCCCTTTCTTTGTGTCCTCTTCAATTTTTTAATCACTGTTTTATAGTTTTCCTTGCAGAGATCTTTCACTTCTTTGGCTTAATTTATTCCTATGTATTTTGTAATTTTTGTAGCTATTGTAAATGGAATTGCTTTCCTGATTTCTTTTTCAGATTGTTCACTGTTGGTATATATATATAAATGCTACTGATCTTTGTGTGTTGATTTCGTATCCTGCAACTTTACTGAATTTATCAGTTCTAAAAGCTTTTGGTGAAGTCTTTAGGGTTTTCTAAATATAAGATCCTGTTGTCTGTGAACAAAGATAATCTGACTTCTTCCTTTGTGACTACAGTAAATAATAATCTATCATATATTTGCAAATAACTAGTAGAGCATAATTCGAACATTCCCACCATGAAAAAAGATAAATATTTAAGGTGATGAATATTTCAACTACCCTGATTTGATTATTACACAATATATGAATGTATCAAAATAACATAATATACCTAAAAGTATGTACATCTATTATGCATCAATTTTTAAAAGTCACATTTTGAATAAATATCTCTAACATAGGTCTCCACAATTTTGTGTAAGCTTTTGTTTCAATTACTGTCATTTCCTTAAATATTTTCTTCATTTCTGACATAAACTGACATAAACATACATTGATTAAAATTCTGTCTTTTCTTATTGTTTAAAAAAGGGTAGATATTAACTTTGTTGAAGCAAACAATATAGCAATTTTTAAAATTACTACTATAGTATGTATTAATTTTTTCTTATACCAGGGCAGTCATTGTTTATAGTGGCTGGTTTTTTTCGTGTGTGTGCAAAATATCTCCCCACCCCAATTTCTTGTGTTCATAGGTTCTATGCCACTGGCAGGATAGGTTAACATGTGTCCCAGTCTGAATTCTTTTCCAGGATTATTCTGGCTGAAAACAAATTCCCTTTTCTCCCCGGTGTCAGAGCTGTTACAAGTCCAAAGCCCCCCCTGGCCATATCCCCTGCCACGCTGAGAAAGGCCATGAGTACCAAGAGAGAATGGGGATAATCGACAAATATAAGCAGGTATGCCAAGCAGAGAGTCCTACAAAGCACTCAGATCTTGTGTCCCGCTTTTCTCCATTCGGCTAGGTGAGCAAACAGGCAAACTTTTTTGATGGATTATGTTCCTTCAAATACAATTTCTATTACCTAAAATCAAAACTCTGCACTCATTAATTAATAATCCAATGAGGGGTGGATTCATAAAGATAAATTGTGCTTAAATAATTATTTGCATGATCACTGCTTAAGGTCTACGTCCTTTGTCAGATCATAAACTCTAGAAGAGCAAGGATCGTGTTCATTTTACCTTATACTAACTAGCACTGTGCCTGCTATACAGTAGATACTTGGTAACTAGTAGTTGAACTAATTAATAAAAGAAAGAGTTGAATGAAAATACAGGAAGTTGTGGTTATATTGTCCAATTTAACATGAAATCATAAGATTTCTTGACGGCAGAATTTTCTTGCTCTGCAAATTTAAATCATAGGCATTATAACTTCCTCTCCTAAGCCAAGGTTCTCAGATTTTAAAATTATCTGTCCTCATAGTACTGAGAATCAAAGTTTAGAGAGTGTTCATTTGAGTAAATGTTCAAAAACAGAGACTGAGCTGTAGTTTACATATTCTGGGTAAAAATCACCTGCAGTATTGATTGGGGAATATTTGAAATGTAGAAAATAACAATTTCATTTTAAAAATGTAAACTATTTACCAAATTCACTTTCATAACTTCATTATTGTTTTCACCTTTAAAGATACTGTTCCAAGCAAATCATCTGGCTTTACAGTACTTCCAAGGCTTTTAAATGTCATTAAAAAGAAAATGAAAATATTAAAAGTGATAAAGTCCTAACTTTTGAGCAAAATAAGTTCTAAAATTAGGACACAATAGCTTAAAAGGAGAAGGGCCCCCTATTTACATAAAAACTAGCATTTCATTTAAATTAGTACTTTTATAATAATTATGTCTTCTAAATATAGAAGACAGATATAAATCTGATATTATGCCTGTCTCTCACTAATGAATTAAGGTTGTTAAAAATACTGATGGTTATGACAATCAGTTTTTTGTTATTAAGAAAGGATGATCACTATGTTTGAAACAGATAAATCAATTATTGTACAGTATCATCATAAAGAATTCTTATAATGATAATCATGACATTGTTAACTGCTCTGTCCATTGGAATATGGAAATCATTTCATTGCACAAGCCCCTTTAAACATAATGGTATTTTATATAAGGTGCAATTTGCATCTTTTTATTGTTTAAACTCTTTGAAAAAAGTCAAAATTTCTTGACAGATGGTATAATCTACGTAAAACATCATTGCCATCTATAGTGCATGATAATAAGAGATAGACCCAGAAGGAGGACTGCTGTATCACATGGTCATTCTATATTTTTTGAGGAATCCAGGAATGTGATATAATTTGAAATTGCAATAAATCTCCTGCCAAGGTTGTTTCAAGAGAATACCTCTGTCCTCACCTGAGCTTTAAAGTAAATGAATCTGGGCCAGGCGCGGTGGCTCACGCCTGTAATCCTAGCACTCTGGGAGGCCAAGGCGGGAGGGTCATTTGAGCTCAGTAGTTTGAGACCAGCTTGAGCAAGAGCAAGACCCTGTCTCTACTAAAAATAGAAAGAAATTAGCTGGACAACTAAAAATATATAGAAAAATTAGCCGGGCATGATGGCACATGCCTGTAGTCCCAGATACTTGGGAGGCTGAGGCAGAAGGATCGCTTGAGCCCAGGAGTTTGAGGTTGCTGTGAGCTAGCCTGACCCCACAGCACTCTAGCCCAGGCAACAGAGCAAGACTCTGTCTCAAAAAATAAAGAAAAAAATAAAATAAAGTAAATGAATCTGGTCTACCTAGACCTACCACATGATGTGTGAAGATGAAACCAACCCAGCAAAGAGGCAGAGATACAGAGGAAAACTGAATTTCAATGTCATCATTTAAGCCTGATGCCAGCTCTACTCCCAAACATTTCAGAAATTCCCTTTGCTGCTTAAGCTAATTTGACTGGCTTTTCTGACACTTAAACAAATCTTAATTAACATTTTGTACTTCCCTAGTCCTGAGTATTTGGCAGCCCATATTTTATTTTTACCTGTAAACTACAATTTTTCTATTAATAGAAATTTTGGGTCTCAGTCATTTTTTCTTAAAAATATGAAGATGGTATTCCATTATCAAATGTGTTGATAGTTACTAGTGTGCCTCCCTGTAGTCCTCTCAAAATAATGTCTTAACTAAAGTAGTAAACCCATGCTGGTTTAATTAATGAATAAATATGAGGGCAAGATGAACATTTCAGCTATTCGTAAAGGCTCTTGGTCCCTTAGTCTATAGACAGAGCTAAGCTTACAGGTTTCATTCTAATCAACAAGACTGGAATAGAAATTGGGTATACTTGGAATAAAATAATACATAATGTTTTTATTAGATATTTCTATAGAGTGATTTAATTTTATAAATCACAGTATGCACTTTGTATGATCATTCCAGACAGGCTTACTATCTAAGGATGTAGTTTGGTCTAGATGGTAGATAAGGTCTCGTGAAATGTTATATTTGAATCTCCATTTTCATGTGATTAGTATTAACTTAGCAGACTTGTTTTTGAAAATTCAGAGCAACTCCATCTCCCAGAGATTTTTCCCAGTTAACTCATGTGATATGTTCCACATAATACTGCCCTACATCTATAAATAAAAGAAAGGCTTAGGATAAGGAAACAGATTGATATCTCCCATGCTGATATCCTCCAACCCCTGGAATGGTATTTGTTACAATAATTTTGTTTGAATTTGTATCTTTATATTGTTGATATAAATAAATGAAAACATTTTCTTGATCAGCTCTCTTACAGAGCCAGTAAGTAGTTTGCCCATGGGGCAACACACATCTATTAGTCACAATTATGGGTCAATCCCTCTGCTAAGTGTCAGAAATGCAAGTACAGACTAGTAGTAAATACGCAAATGAAATGCAATCTTATGGATATGGCAATGGAATTTATACAGGGTACAATCAGGGATTAGGGCAATAGGGTGGCTGAGGATGTGGACAGATTAATTCTACTTGAATAGTATAGGGTGGGGGAGTTGCATACCCACTGTAAGATACCCAAAGAACAACAATAGGAATGATACCCAAGGAGAGTGACTGCCTGTTTGGATCTGATGCTGCACTGATTAAGAACCTTCAGTTCCACTGAGGCCAGGGGCAATTTGAGAGCAGCAGCATCACAACGTGATCTGACAATCCGTCTCCACCATTGACAGAGAGGGCAGTCATACCTTCTGCAACATACTTAAGTAACCTCATTCTTTGCCTTTAAAAATACAAGAAATATATTTAAATACAGGTCCACTTAGAAGCAGGAGCCCAGTAAAACAGACTTCTCACACACCTTTCAGTTGCTCTGTGGCATTGTCATTCTTCCTTGATATGTAACATACTTCCAAATATCCTCGATCCACAAATACTCCAATCATTTTCCTGGGGAAATTTCTCATGAAACCGTACAGAGTACTTTAACTCCTTTCATAAACACTGCCATCCATTAGTAAAAGGTAACAATTCTTTGACAAAAAGTTTAAATAAACATGTTCCTCAGCGGTGGACAGGTATTTTGCTCAACAAGAAAATGAATTTGCCCTCACCTACTAATCTCCATTTCCTCTGGTGCTCCATAGTGTGGAGTGCCGGGAACTGATAAATGCTCTAGCTTCTGAGTTTCACTTGTGCCCAATTCTGCACACCCACACAGACATCAACCTTGCTGTCAAAAGAAGATATCATTACCTTCGTTCCTCCTGTTTGAAAAGTTTAGGCAGTCTGGTTTTTTTGTGCAGAAATACTTTAGGATATTGCTTCATAAATATATTATGAGCCGATAAGTTATCGTAAATACTCCAGCTTAAAAAAAGAGAGAGAAATTAAACTGTAAGTATCATAAGATAATAGTTTCCAAGAGAAAGATTTTTAACTCAATATATATAAGTTAATTCTATACAGACTATTTAGTCTAAGAAGCAAATGACAAAAATATAAAACATAAATATTTTGTGCTTTAAAAATATCCACTAAAAATTATCTACAGTGTACCCCAGTGGAAAATATTTTAAGAAATATCAAATTATGACAATGTCAATGTAAAAATCTAAATTTTAAGCTGAGCCTTCCTCAAACTTTCATTTCTGTAATTGATTAAAGTTCTTATGTAAATGCCACAAAATTAAAATCCCTCCAAAATGATTTACAAATAGTTCACATATACATTACTACAAAGTATATTTATCTGAATCTTCACAATGATTTATTAAAATACGGGGAGCATTGTAGGGGCAAAGGGCAAGTCTTTAATCCTCGCTTGGGTGAGGCAAAGACATAAAGTGTACCCAAAATGTTTGTACCCTCACAATACCCTGAAATAAAAAAAAAAAAACAAAACTCATGCACTATTTTTTTTAGGTCTGGAATAAAGATGTGCTAGAACAAAAGATCAGCATTTTCCAAATCACCGAAATCATCCAAGATACTTTTTGTAAGTAAAGATTTCTGATCTTTTTTCTGATGAATCATAAATTCCAAAAGTAGAGCCCCCACGTGGGCTTCTCCTTTTTAAATAACCACCTGAGGATGATTCTTTTATGCAGCCAGATTTTGATCCACTGCAAATATCAAAAATGACAATAAACAAGATCCACAGAAATATAGCAAATTGTCTTTAAATATTAGGTAATGATATTTGTTTCTGGAAAATCTGCTTCATTCAATCTTCAATTGACAACTACCATGAAAAGTTAGTCAATTTTTTAAAATGCTAAACACTCATCTTGACAGCTTATTTCAATAATTATTAAAAATGATCCTACTTCATTGAACACTGACAAACATCTTGGCCAACATTTGCCTCATGGCAATGAATACAAAAATCCTCAAGAGTAGCCTTTTTTTTATTTCATTGTCAATGTAAATAATGACAATACATTCTAAAATATTTATAACAGCTCTTCTTCTCTTGGCTAATGTTCCTAAAACACAATATTGATGCCTTGCACAAGAGTAATTCTATATACTTTAATAATCTTATTTAATTTAGTATAACGATTCAAACAAAACCGCTCAGATGTGATTTAATATGACATTAGGATTTTAATTCCCCTTCTCATGCTATATAGATACGTTGATGAAGCAGCTACTCTGTTTTAAATCCAAGCACTGATTTCATTGGAGGCTTTCCAAGGATTTTCTTTTTTTTTCTGTTCTGAATTCACATTCTACAACCATCTATTTTACACGTCTACCTGTTTTATTGGCTACTTGTTACATTCCAAGCATTGCACTAAGATTTTTACATTGTTTTTGTATCCTTGCATATTTGTATAACCTGACAATGTTAATATATTTTATTGCCCATTCTAAACATAAAGAAACTGCAACCATAATAATTTGCCTAATTCATATAACTGGGAAGTAGAGGATACAGGGTACAAAAGAAAACTAAATTGACTCCAAAACTCATTCTTTTAACCTCTGGGCTATCCTGCCCCTCAATTAATAAAACATATTATAATTCTTGCTATATTCTAGCCACTATTCTATGCAATTTACATGTATCTTACACCAGCGGTCCCCAGCCTTTTTGGCACGAGGGATGGGTTTCACAGAAGACAATTTTTCCATGGATAGTGGAGGGGAGCTCAGGTAGTGATTCGAGGGATGAGTGATGAGGAGGGGCGGTAAATGCTCCCTGGCCAGCCGCTCCCCTCCTGCTGTGCACCCTCGTCTGTGGGGGAGGAGGGAGCGCGTGCCTAAGTTTCATGGAAGACAATTTTTCCAAGGACCAGTGTTGGGGGAGGGGTGGGGACAGTGGAGCTCTGGGGCCAGTTCCTAACAGGCCACGGACCAGTGCTGGTCCACGGCCTAGGCGTTGGGGACCACAGTCTTAATAACAACTATGTTAGCTAGATACTTTTATCATCTTCATTTTATACCTGAAGATGCTGGGGTCCAAATAAGCACAACTCATGCTGCAAAACCTGGAACCTTATTCCAATCTGTGATCTGGATAGATCATCTTTGGAATGGCTAAAAAGTCTATACCAAAATGCCAAGTCCTTTGCCCTTGTCATTTTCTATGTGTATAACTAAGCTGCCTCCTTCACCTAATCTTTGACAATTCCCAAGGCAGGGTGGCTGATGTACATGAACTCAGTGTTTATGATCTGGGTCTCCAAAAGGAGCATGTCCGGGAAGTGAAACACATGGAAGGCTACAATGGAAGAGTCAAATGTTAGAGTGGGAGATGACATGATTTTCAGAATGAAGCCCTGAGTGCCCTATGATGCTATGATATACATTCAATGTCACAAAAATGTCGTTAGGACGTATACTCCTATTTCTGAGTCTCTTACTGAAACAAAATCATATATTTCTGTGTGTTCAGTAGAAATGCATTTTGTCTAAAACCACGTAAAATCTGTAAATAAATGCATTTAAACATGGAGAAGTAGCTTAGAGGAAACATCAAATAAATGTAAGTAGACAGCCAGGGACAAAGAAATATTTAGAATTATATATAGTAGGATTGGACAGTAGATTATGGACCCAAATAACTATCTGACTCTTGAATGCTGTCCAGAAGATATTTTTCATAATTTACTGGGCTATGAGTAAATGCTACCTATGGACAAGGAATTTTCCACTTCATTGAAGCTTACCCACAAGGCAACTCATCTACAAAAAAGAGCTCCAGGTTCCTCAGGCAAATGAAAAGGAGATATATTAAAAATCTATACTTTTACACACCAAAACTCTAGAGCACTTTCAAGATGTTCTATACTCAAGGATCACAAAATTAAATGCTTATAGTAGCCAAGCAGGTATCATAAGGTGGGAACTGTGGTGAATTTGAAAAAGAATACCCAAATAGAGGGAGCTTTGACCTCACCCTTAAGCTTATTTTTCTCATGTGCTAATAAAACTACACTGTGGTCAAATCATGCAGGTCTTTTTATTTTGCAGAAGCCAGAAATCTGAACTTCCATGAAATTTTCTTATTTTTAGATGTTAGTAACTGCTGTGGACTGAATTTAGCTCTCCCACAAAAAAAAAAAAAAAATGTATATGTTAATCCCTAACCCCCTATGTGACTGCATTTGGACCTACCTAACTGCAAAGGAGGTTGGGAAATGTAGTCTAGATCTGTGCCCAAAAAGAAGATGCAGTTTGGGGAAGCACAGAGAAGTCTCTAAGATAGATATACAATCACTGACTCTTAGACCTGGGATTATTCTTATTTAGACATACAGCTATCATTTTATGGATAAGTAAATAATGCATACAAAGTTTAAATGACCTGCCTAAGCTTATACAGAGCAGAAAAATTAGTACACAAATTCAAGTTGTCTTGACTCTAAGGTTTTTCCATTTATCGTCACAGGGGCAATCTACTAGAGAAGGCAGGAAGTAAAGGCACATAGCACACAGTCAAGGAATAGTGCCAATACCATCAACCGGTGCTCCTTCCCCTGGTCTGGAGTAGTCTACTTGACATTCTCATGGCTGAGTTCTAGCCAATGGAATATGAAAGAGAGGACAGAAGGGATGTGCACCCCTCACCATCCCCCTCCCCAAAAAACACCTTTCACAGGAGATTTTCAGTGTCCTTTCCCCTTCCCTCCTTTCCCCTTCCCGCATGACGCAGAAGAGTGGCCTTGAAAGCAACACAATAAAGAAGGGAAGAACAAACATTTGGTAGAGGCCTGAGTTCCTAAACCAAAAGAACAAGCTGTCAATGAAAAGTACCTTTCTATGGCATGATGTGGGAGAGAAATAAACTTCTGTTGTATAAAGCCACTGAGATTTAGGGTTTATCTATAGCAGCTAGAAATACCCTAACTAATACAATATTTCTTCTGTATCTCATTCAGTTCTGCTCACAGATCTAGGAACATAATAAGCTTTTAATAAAATACTTATTGATTAATTATGTGTTTGTCCTGAAGTAATTTGCATTTTTTATTTTAAATTAATTAAAGTAAGTCATAAAAGTTGAATCTATTAAACCACTTATAGCTTGTTTCCTCCTGAAATGATCTTATAAATATTGTAGCATCTACACATGTACTTAATGAAAATTGAAAGAAATATAAATTATATCCTTTCACAATAAAACAGGCAATTACAATTTGGTATGAATTAAGCTGATTACATATTTTATATATACATTAAATAATATATATTATATATGCATAATGGATTTCATCCTTTTATTACAATATGAGTTGCAGAAAAAATGCCAATGTATTTAACATTAGGCCCTCAACCTAAATGAAAGATCATTCAATCAGCAATTTTTTCAGATAATGCCACTACAAAGTGTCACTCTATTCAGTCTCCTCTATACTTATTTAAAATTTTTTGGAAATATGAATCTTTAGTTATGAATTCATTTGACCATCTTCCTTACCTATAGACAAACTCATTAGTCAATGACTTTATGCCTTCAAAATTATAGTTTTCAAAAGAGTTCCACATGCTACTATAATTAGTTAACCATAGAAATTAAACTCAAGCTTTGCATTTTCCTATAGTTCCTGAAGAAAAATTAAAAGATCTATTTTGACAAAGCTAACTGCAAATGCTAACTTTAAGACTTAATCCAAACCTTTTAGAGAGATATTGATCTGTCATCAAGTTTTACTTCCCCTGAAATAACTCAAGTTCTTCCTACTTTGAGAATCAATACCTGATTTGCATGTAAAACTGAAGTTGTGTAATCTTATGTGAGGTATTTAAGCCTCTCACTTATTTCTTTATCTCCTGCCTACCTTTAGAATTGTTGTAGTGGTTAGAAATAATAAAAGTAAAGCTCCAAGCCCACTGTTTATAATATATTAGGCATATAAAAA